CACCACGGATCATCCTTTGATCTCCCCGTGAATTGCAACAGGTTCTGGTTTCCTACCTTACTGTTGCTGCAATTTAGTTATCCTTATTTGAAAATCCCAAAAAAATTATTTCTATATTGCTGCATAAACTTTTCGTCATAAAGTTTTCATCTCTACGATGAAAGATACATTGCAGAATTCCAACCGTATAGCACCGTCTATTTGATTTTGCTACTATACTTTTTCTATCCAAATCTCTACGAAATTTTTATGACATCTTTGAGATTTCCTAACAGCAGATTTCCTTTGGTTTTGTCAAAAAATTCTCAATATAAACTATTGATATTTTATATCTAATATGCTATATTTGAAAATCTGCACTGTAAAATTTCAGACGCATAGCACTGTTTGTTTGATCTTGTTACTACGTTGTTTCTATCCAAATCTCTACGAAATTTTTATGATAGCTTTGACACTTTCTAACAGTGCAATTCCCTTTAGTTTCATCAAAAAATTCTCAATATAAACTATTGATCTTTTACATTCAATCTGCTATACTTAAAAATCTATGCAGTAGAAAATTTCTGCCGCATATTGTTGCTTTAACCCATCTATTTGCAATCTTTTTTTAATGAAATTTCTTATACACTTCATATATCATCTTGGCTTCCATCTAAGATTGATCTATTAAGAAATTCATCTCTAAAAATGATTTTGTGTTGCTGCAAATTTTCGTCGTAACCCGTTGAAATTTCTCAATGAGAATTCTGCAATCGCAACTTGCACCAATTTCCTTGCTATTATACTGTCGAAATTTTCTTGATTAAATTAGATATCCTTGCTATCATAAACTGTGATTTTGCTATCAATTCCCTCCTCAATTCTCTTAAGTTTTTGGTGGAAATTACGTCGAGAAACCGTTGTTTCTTCGACGACAATTCTACTCTTACAAGACAACACATACTTGCTGCAACTTCCACTTATTTCTATCAAACCTTTGCTACCATCTACCACAGATTCAAAACTTTCATCTATAGCCCTAAAACTCTACCAAACCACATCCTCAAACTGCACCCAAAATAGCCACAAAACAAGCCTAAACCGTAGCCTACATCCACCGATCTACCAACCCTTTCGACCATCACCTCTCTCAACCAATACATGCCTTTAACCCAACAACAAAAGAGAGATCTTAACATCACAGATTTGGCGGCATATACTATGGCATCTGAGGAGATAATCAATGCTAAATTCGAAGCCTTCGAGGCGCGAATGGAGGATAAGATTCGGATGCTCTTTACCGAACTCAAATTGGGCCGACCACTAAGCCCGAAGAAATCACATCAAGGAGAGAGCTTTGCCCAATCGCACCAAGCCCAAAGATATGACTTCCAAGAGAGGAGAAGCTCTATGACCAACCCCAACTATCCATTGCATGAGAGTGGATTTCCCTAGATGGGAAGAAGGAGACCCGATTGGTTGGATCTCGCGTGCGGAGCGATATTTTCGGTAGCATAAAACCATGGATGCATCTATGGTGAAAATTATAGCTATACATCTTGAAGGGGATGCTATACAGTGGTTTGACTGGTTTGAACATACTTATGGAGTCCTTTCATGGCGACAATTCAAAGAAGGACTCCTGATCCGCTTCAAACCAACCGATTACGAGAATATTGACGGACAACTAGCAAAGATCCGACAAACCTCTACCATTCAGGAGTACTAAACCAGGTTTGAAAGGTTATCTAATCAAACTCGTGATTGGTCTAAAAAATAGCTATTGAGGACCTTCATTGAGGGCTTGAAGCCAGAGATCCGAGGAGAAGTTAAAGCGCGACAACCATATACGCTTATGGCAGCCATCTCTTTCGCACGACATCAAGAGGAGCAATTGAACCATGAAGCTCAGAGGACAAGGGTCGCTCCTCAACCAGTAATATTGAAGCCCTCAACCCCCCTACTATCGACCAAGTCCCTACACCAAAGAGGTTAATAAGAGAAGACCTTCGGGAGCGATATGCGAAGGGGTTATGTTGGCATTGTGACGAGTCGTGGAGCCATGAGCATCGCTGTAGTAAAGGGAGACTTCTTATGATTGAACCAATAGAAGAAGAGGTCATTGAACATCCAGAAGAGAGCCTTGAACATGAAGAAGAAGATGCAGAAGAAGAGCCACAACCGACCGAAGTTACGGTACATACACTAGCCGGCTACTCAAACCCGCAAACGCTGAAAGTTGGAGGCCTTCTCAAACAACAACCGATCACTGTTCTCATCGACACGGGCAGTACTAATAACTTTCTAAACAGTAAGGTTACTATCCAAATGACCTTACCTACCGAGAATTGCAACAAGTTTGACGTTAAGGTCGCCGATGGATGGATTTTGAAGTATGATCATAGGCGCCCGCAAGTGAAACTGTTGATAATCATGAGGCCTTACTAAGAGATAATTGCATATTTCTTCCTTCTCCCTCTTGATGATCATGAGGCCATGCTCATAATTAAATGGTTGATGACATTAGGTGATATTTTTTGGAATTTTATGCAACTAGTTATGAAATTTTACAGTAAGGAGAAACAGGTGATACTGAACGGGAAACGTGGGGGCGACGTAACGATGATTTGCACACAACAAATGGAGAAGGTTTTGCATAAAGCATACAACAGATTTTTGGTACAACTTAAGCAGCAAACTAAGGGAGAGCCAATACAATTTGAAGATCCAAACCTACTTCCTTTGTTTGCTGAATTTTCAGATATATTTGACGAACCGTACAACCTACCTCTTACCCGTCGGCATGATCATTATATAATGATTCTTTCAAGCAAACCTCCAGCAAATACTCGGCCATATCAATATCCACATCTCCAAAAGGATGAAATAGAAAGGATTATAAAAGAGATGCTCGAAACAAGAGTTATTCGGCCAAGTTGCAACCTCTATTCTTTACCGGTGCTACTTGTACGTAAGGACGGAACATGGCGAATATGCGTTGATTACCGAGCTCTCAATGGCATAACCATCAAGGACAAATACCTTATTCCAATAGCAGATTAATTGCTAGATGAAAGGGAGCACAAATCTTTACAAAGCTGGACCTTTGATCCGGGTATCATCAAATATGAGTGTGCGAAGAAGACATACCGAAAACCACCTTTTGAACACACAACAACCACTACGAATTTTTGCTTTCTTCAACAGAAGGTGGAATATCTTGGGCATATCATATCAGAGGAAGGTGTGACAGTGGACCCCTTCAAAATTGAAGCAATGCAAAATTGGCCTACACCGAGGAACATAAAATTACTACATGGCTTTCTGGGTTTAACAAGCTACTATCGTAAGTTCGTGAAAAACTATGGAAAGATCAATGCACCACTTACTTTCTTTCTGGAAAAAGATATCTTCCAATGGTTAGACAGAGCCTTCGCTGCCTTCGACAAACTTAAGGCAGCCATGACGACGACGCCGGTGCTAACACTACCAGATTTCAACCGACTCTTCATTATTGAGGCCGACGCATCTTGAGTCGGAATTAGAGCCATTCTCATGCAAGATGGTCGACCACTCGCATACACTAGCAAGGCATTATCTCCCTCCCATCAAAATAAGTCAACATATGATAAGGAGATGCTCGCCATTGTGTGCGCAGCAACGAGGTGGAGACCCTACTTGATTGGTCGACGATTTCAAATTAAAACCGACGATAAAAGCCTTAAGTACTTTTTGGAGCAAAAGATATTATCCCCTGAGCAGCAAAAATGGGTAACAAAACTTCTTGGATTTGATTATGAAATAACTTACAAAAAAGGGAAAGAGAATGTTCTTGTAGATGCGCTTTCGCAACTACCCGAGCAAGCTGAAGTTTCGGCCATTTCACTTTCGACCAGCGACTTCCTTGAGGATATTAAGATGGAATGGCAGGAAGATTCAGAGACTAGTAAGATTATAAAAAAATTAGAGGAAGCACCAAGTTTCGTAGCTCATTATAATTGGGACTCAAAAGAATTACACTATAAGGGACGCATTGTGCTTATGATAAATTCTACTTGCATCTTCATGAGCAGATTTTGGACAAAGTTATTCCATATGCAGGGTACTAAATTGAAAAGGAGTACGACATATCATCCACAAATCAACGGCGAGACAAAAATTGTAAATAGGTGCTTGGAGACAGTCCAAAGCCACCCACCTAATATGACTATCCAAGGAGAACTCCAAACCCAGCCAAGTGCCATTATTGATCGACGGATCGTGACTCGACGACGACGACCTACTACTAAAATGCTAATACAGTGGGTGAACCTACCAACGGAAGATGCCCCTTGGGAGAACTACGACGACTTGAAGATCAAATTCCCAAAATTCATGAATCATCAGCCTCGAGGACAAGGTTGATTTGAAGAGGGTGGGTCTGTTAGGACTCTAGCTAGGAGAGTCCTAATTGAGAGGGACATTTATGTAAAACCTACCTAAGTCGACCCCTATTAAAGATGTGAAGAGGCCAGCTAGGGTTAAGAGATTATTTCTTAGAGATGAATTAGGAGTTGTAAAGGAATAGGAGTCTTGAGTAGAAGTCCTATTAAGAGTTGGTTAGAAGTAGGAGTCTTGAGTACGAGTCCTATTAGGAGTTAGGGTTTAGAAACCCTATAAATAGTCATGTATTCCTCCTCTTTTGATAAGCAATAGATGAATCTTTTCTGCAGCCTTTGAGCAGCAACTTGGAGGGAGGAACCCCTATAGAGTTCCAAGGAGGTCGATCCCCTAAAGAGATCAACCCCAAGTTTAGAATCTGCAAAGGTTCTAACAAAAATATATTTTTCCCTAAACACTGGATTTTGAAATGGCTGTATTTACAAAATGTACAAGTTTGAACTAGGAGCATTAAATTATTATTAGAGAATAAAATTCTGATTTGTTATTGGATTATGTTGGGAGGCAAAGCCAGAATGTGAAGTCAATACATGTCAGCATGAAAACAGTGTATGAGAATGAGCTGATAAAATAAATAGTTGGAAAGACAAACTCCTTGTAGGAGAAGATTTGATCAATGATAATGACAATGAGAACAATTAAGTCCCCATTCAACTTTGGTTAATTATTTACAAGAGACTGCTGGTATGAACAACTTGAGAAAAGTACTCTCTCTCTCTCTACTTACCATCAGAAGTTAACAGTTCCACTAGAGAGAAAATAGCCTTTCTATTTTTTACTTTTCTAGCCATAGAGAAGATTAGAGAAACAAGGTAAAGAAATCTTTTCTTTTTCCCTATATAGATAACTAATTTAAATTGCAGGTGCTTAATTACATCCTATCATGAACATGATTTCGACATAAACACATCTGTACAGAGAACCAGCTTCTTCTTTTCCATCATTCTTCTTTATGAGGTGCCAAAACTGCAGCTAATATGCTCTTGAGAAATTAACTGAAGCCGGTCATGCATCATGGATTTTGTTCCATAAGCTGGCAGGCAAAGGCGGTAGAAGCATGTATGTGATGTTGGTAAACACTCTTGGGAATCTGAAGACGACTTGTATATGTACAGTCTGGAAGCCAAACCACCAAATCCATCCACAGGTAAGTATTTGATGGATGTCCAGAAAAAAAGCAGCACTCTCCGTTGCTCCTCGGACATGCTCTCTACAACCTACAGAAGTTTAATTAATGATTACTGTTTTTCCTTGGAAAATCACATCTAGAAATATATATAATGTGTTAAGGAACTAAAAATTATTCACAAAGAACGTTCAAGCATTCAGCTCTTCATGTCAAACTCGGACTCTAAAATGAGAAAAAGAAAATAAACCCATGATAGGTCACATGGTGCTGGAGGCAGCAACTTGGAAGGGCTATGGAATGGTGCAATTGTTTCAGGGCCATAGAGTAGTACAGTAATAGACAATGGGCACTTACAATATGGAGTTTCAAATTTCTCTTGGGGAATAACAGAAAGAGGATTGGAATCAGGAATTTTACAATATGGAGTTTCAAATTTCTCTTGGGGAATAACAGAAAGAGGATTGGAATCAGGAATTTGCATCTTCTATGGTGGGTCAGGTGACTTGTCATCAAGTAAATAAAATATATTGGGGAAAACAATCGTTCTCTCTGACTAGCTTATCAAACAAGCTATCCGGCATCAGTTGGGCAAGGAAACCTAAATGCAACCTCTGAAGAGACTAGTGATAAGACCCTAAAGTCTTATCGTAGGCTCTGATACCAAATGATAAGACCCTAAAGTCTTATCGTCGAAGAAAGGGGAGAAATGGGAGAAATGGGGATGATAATGATCGCTTCGAGAGGATCGGCCTCCTAGGGTTTGTCAAAAGACATAATAGTATTTTTCATAGATTACCGAAAAGAAGCAGTTATATCCCTATTTATAGAGTTCCACCCAGAGTCCATCAGGACTTGAACTCTAATAATAAATAAATATTAAATAAACCTCTACTTAACTCTAACTGAACCAAACTGACTCAATAAACAACTGGACTAAACAGACTCAATAAACATTATTCAAAAGCTTAGAAAAAGGATCCTAACAACTAGTCAGGTCAACTAATGGCCCAAATGACTATGCCGGACGAGAACCTACCTGTTCTATGCTTAGATCCATGATGAGTTTAAATATCAAGTATTGCCATGATAAGCACACACCGTACATCACCATTTTTTAAACATTTGGACCTACAGCTGGCTTATGCAAACTTGGGCTATGTGGCCATATCTCAATTACAATAGTTAATGTAGAATTCTAAAATTCTAATCATTGTTCTAAAAGACCAGGGGCAAAGGCAATTGGTTCACACAGCAAGGAAAGTAACCTTGCTATTATTATATAGAAGCTGTTAGTCAAACAATGATTAGAATAAGCAACATTATACTAGGTTATGCTGATAATATTTCACGCGCACTAATTTACAAACATTCTCAGGGGCAAAGGCAATTGGTTCACACAGCAACGAAAATAAATTTATATAGTAATTATTATACTAGATTACTAGTCACACGTGCAGCATCACAATCACCATTTTACAAGTGTTGTTTGCAAATGCTTGAAAGGATATTCTGAATGTTGCTATAATATATAGAAGCTGTTAGTCAAACAATTGGATAGAAAACATATTTCTTTAAAAAAAAAAATCAATTCAGAAGTTGACTTAGTAATAAGCAACATTATACTAGTTTATGCTGATAATATTTCACGTGCTCTAATATACCCCTAAATCATCAAAGAAGAATTTGCCATTCATCAAATTGTCTTACCCTGGTATCATGATAGCAAAGTCGAGGAATTCTGTGATCAAGGTTTAAAATATTAATCCAGTGGCAATACCTATCATGATATCATGATAGCAAATTGATGTATCAACAATAAGCATGGGTTGGTGCTGCCTGCACCACAGAGAAAGATGGAGAGAAGAAGGAATGAGGAGAGATGAGTAAGAGGAAGAAGAAGTAGCAGAGTAGGAGGAAGACAGATGAAGAGGAAGATGAGGAGGAAACATAGCGGTAGGAGGAGATGGCAATGATGCGATGGAGAGGAGATGTAAAGGGGAGAGAAAGAGAATGACAAAAGACAGAAAGAAAGAAAAATAAAAGGAAATAACAACATCTATCAAAAAATAAGAATATGGTATACAGGTTCCCACTTAATATAATTAGGTAGCAGTTTGCATACTGTCCAAACCAGTACGGTAAGCTTACAAAAGACAGAAAAAGAGAAATAACAACAACATCCATCAAAAAATAAGAATATGGCACAGGTTCCCACTTAATATAATTAGGTTACAGATTGCATACCGTCCGAACCAGTATGGTAAGCTTACTAGGGTGATCCAGCCTATAAAGAACCAAAGTGGATGAAATTGCTCGATCTGCATCCTAGTTGGCTATCACAGGTATATAACAACCCTTGCCAACCGATAAGCTCAGTATTTTAACCTGCTTGTCACCATGTTTACTCATGGTATAAACCTTCTATATATTGGACTGCCACTATCAAACTATGAACAATCTCTATAAATCTAACCATGCCCCTAAACTTACATCTATGATGGAAAAGTTGGATTCCTCGGGTTCAAGCAATAACAACATATTCAAGTGATACAAATGTAATTTGAACTTCTTTTTCAACCCCATAAAGTTACCTTTATGGCATAGTCATAGGTGATAATTATTTGTATATAAACCCTGAAAAAAACATTTTCTGATCCACTACCATGAAAAACCATATGTACAAGTTAATGTTGACAAAAAAAGATCCAGTAAGCATAAAATTTAGTGTGATTTTATGAACCAAGACTTAGATGTAGTGCTAATACTAAACTGAAGATAAAAAGCAAGAATTTAAGCATCTTCAACACAACTACAAAACCACTTCAATTAAGGACAAAAATAAGATATTAACATAGACAACCAGAAGCGCAGATGGGAGGAAAATGTGCAGTACCACAGTAACAACAATGAAATATCATTTCTGTCTACTGAAAGAGAAAGAAACTAAATTAGAAGTTAAAGTTAGTCAAAAGTTTATACAATTGCCAACTGCACTAGAAAGGTTATCTCCGAGGATGTGGTAAGAGATACTAACATTAGGATAATGACATAAACTCTAGACAAAATAAAAGCATGAACTAAAGCATCATGAGCAGAAAATAGAAGTCATATAAATTTACCTTCCAAAACCAATAGATTTGACGATCTTTGGATTTATAGCCATTATATTCAGTATGTTCTTTCCAGTCCTTCACATTAATGACATTATTACTTCCACCTAGCATTCGATCAAAATCTTCAAGATCCATGCTATCGAAAAAAAACCGCTGGTGCTTTGAATTAGAAAGAATATCACCAAAACCCTGAGTGAAATGAGCAACCTGTTCAGAGATTGATGTAACAAAGCAATGCTTAATCAGGAGGCTGACATACTCCTCCCTGTTCCTGCTATGTACAATAATATCCTTCCCACCAGGGCACAGCTCAACCATCCTCTTTGACCCCATCATATCAATTTCTCTGGCAAATGTTAGCCCTAAGGCATCTGAATCAAGAAGGGCTGCATCCATCTCGAGAATTTGTTTGCAACTCATGTATAAGACTGGATCCGCATCACGCACATCTTCCAAAGAAACAGATCTTCCAGCTAGTTGCAAGAAGAACATACGATCAAACACAACACCAACTTGGACTTTATGCATCAATGCTAGTGCAATCACTCGCCCACTGAAGCTGAAGTATTTGAGGTGCAGAGGATCTACAGAGGATGCTGCATAATATTGACAAACACCACATAAGAAAGCAGGAATTGCAGCAAAAAAGCCAAAAGAAAAAAGATCTTGTCTATGTTGCTTGGAGGACCAAATGAAACAGATGGCCATTGCACAAAGGCTCCTGTTAATATGGGATCTAAGAAGGGTCAATGTATGTAGCCTTAACCTTGCAAATAGAGAGATTGTTTCTGTGACTTTAAGCTTAGAGAACAACGAACAAACAAAATTAAGATAGGAACTGTAGTTTGATATTCAATGAAGTCAGTTTTGGTCTCCTTGTTGACTGGATGGCAAGGAACGACTTGAAACTTCTTTGCTGAGTTTGATGACACATTACGCAATCTAGCAAGGTCAAGTTACTGACTGCTTGAAGGGACTCAAACACGACATAACAAGCTGGACCAGTATGCATTGAAGTAACTCAAGCTGAAGTGCGGTATTTTCCCCTGCTGACTCTAGGTTGGATTGGCCAAGCCGAGGTAATGTGCTGCCCAAAAGCTGATTTCTGAGGTGCTATACTATTCTATTCCACAAAACGACTAACATATTCAAATTTTAGGTCCACATCAGATTGTGTGAAGAGAATTAAGTTGAACTTGATGGGTACATGGGTAAAATACAGCTATCTCATCAGGTCAATTCATCACTAATAATATCAAAGCGGAGCTGGTACTCAGTATAGTGAGGAGTTCAAGTAAGAACTACCCGTGAATGGAACTAGAGAGATTGGACTTCATATAAACAATGGACTTTGACGAGGACATCAAGTCTTAAGGAAGGTTGTGATACTCTCAAGTTTAGTGTCAGGGAGGAGAACTAAGTTGACTTACAAGATCTAACTTGGACTTCATGTATTGTAGACAAGGTCACCTGTTCTTTGTATCATTTAAAATAACTTGTTCATTGGTCAATTTTCCTGCAGTATGGTTTGTAACAACTAAAATCTAATTGTCTTCTATATTTTTTCAAAAAAATATATACTAAGTGCATTCAGCTGTGAAGTAATATTCTTTGCATCAAGGTCACAGTAAGATTGCTATACTTTAATCCAAGATATATTTTAGCTTGTAGCATGCATGCAAAGTGCAACATAAGCAAAATGCATACCCAACACTAGCTTATAAAAAAGACATAGTAATTATTTGACTTATAATACAATTTATGAAAATTTCAGATACGTATTCATCTAAATATTCATAAAAAATACTTGGAGGAAAAAAGAAAGGTCTCTGTAACTTAGGGTAACATCAGAATAATGAGCTCACAAAGAAAGGTGAAGAATGTAGAGAGGATGAACTTGCCAGGATTAGGAAAGAATCTTCGATGGTCATGTGGGCATGACAAGAAAAGTGGATTCTGAGGATTGAAAATAGCTTGGCATAACAAACAGAACCACTCTCTGAGAACACCTGGACCTGTGGCCTCCTCATTTTTGAACTCCATAAAAATTGCTCCACGCAATGCAGTAGCATCAACTTGGCCAATATATTGAAAGGACTCAGATAGCAGCTGGAACCTGTCAATGAGCATTTCGTGCAGTTCTTCTTCCTCTTTTCCTTCAGGAAGCATCATCAAAAGTAAATTCCTTCTTGCCTCAAAATCAGTTATGTCTTTATACTTGAGAAACCAGCGAAGCTTCCGATTCCTCTTAGCACATCTGAGAAGTGCATTCAGTGTCCTCCGCCGCTCGAAAAGAAGTGAATGAAGCAACTGCTCGGCGCCCTCAAAAATCTTGGAGAAAACCTTGATCACTGTAAGAACAACAAGTAGCTGTGACCATTTTGGCAACTGAGCCTCGTACCGTGCCTGCCCCCTTTCATCCAGTATGTCCTCCACCTTCTTCAGACACTGGCCAACCTTGTTCAGGAGCTTTATATATAACTCGTATAACAAACCAATGCCATTCTCATACCTTGGACTCCCCAGGATATACAAGTGCTCAGAGATTGGCCTGTCTACACCCTTCCACTCCTGTATTGCCCAACGCATCGCTGTCAAGAAATTGGAGAGATCAGTGAGAACAACCTCCGAATCTAACATGGAGTCAGATGAAAGCGCAGCATCCACCAGACCACTAAGCTCAGTGATAAACAAATGCAGCTCCAGTAGCAAGTGAGTCGACTTCAAATGAACTGAGTTCAAAGGCTCTATGGAAGCCTTTAGAAGCTTAGACAATGTCCTCCGGCACCCAACATAAAGCTGGTCGTTCCTGCCCACGGTGGCTGCGAGCATCCTACAGAAGGTGAACACGATAGGGGCGCACTGCGAGTGCACGTACACCGGAAGGAAGTCAGGATTGGAGTCGAGGAAAATCCGAATAGCACCTTCGGCTATGGCTCGGTTGTCGGCCAAAGGCGAAAGATACAGTTTTACGAGCTCCGATGGGGCGCCGGCCAGTGAAAAGACTCCGAGGTAGGCCAAAGCTTTATCTTTGTCACCGTCGGAGTCGGCAAGGGTAGTGTTGAGGAAATCCTTCACGAGCTGGGCGACGGTTCGCTGCCGATCGACGGTACAGATGTCGGAGGCTGCGGCGGCATTGAGGAAACAAATAGAGGAAACGAGGTCGTCGACGACCCGCCAAGCCCTGCTCTGACCGGTGCTCCGGAGTCGGCCGGTGAGCTGGAGGGTGGCGTCCTTCTTGACCGCGGAGTGGCGGAGGGTGGACTCGCCGCGCAGCTGGCGACCGCAATAAATCAGCCGCTGCTCGCGGCTGGGGATGCCGGTGACCGATTCGATCCGTTCGATGACGGAATTCACGGTGTCAGTTGGGCGGGCGTGGACCACGAGGCTTCCACGCGACATCAAGCGCACAAAGAAGTGGAGTTCATCGGACGGCGGCGACGGCAGCGATGACGGCGATGGCAGCGACGCAGAGGGGGAGGCGAAGGGAGGTGGCGGGTGGGAAGAAGACAACCGGGTCTTGGACTCTTCGACATCGAAGGCGGCGAGGGCGGGGGTGAGGCAGGGGGAGGGGAAGGAGAAAGGGGGAGAGGAGGGCCTGGCCATCTTCAGGAGGGGGAAGGAGTGATCTTGATCGTCATGGTCGTCGACCTTGCGCTTGAGGTGGTGGTGGTGATCGAAGGGCTGCCGGGGGTGGGAGGCGGCGTCAAATAAGGACATGGGGCGAAGAGGTGGGGAGGCTGCCGATGGGGAGCGAACCCCTAAAATTCCATCGCCATGTATCGACACGACGAAGGCGGCGGAAGTGGGAGAGGAAGGAGAGCTGAGAGGGGTTCCGATCGCGAGACTGATGAAGAGGAAACAGAGCGAGAATTTGGACGGTCGCGTCGGGTGACCTTTTTTGGTCGCCTTAGGGATGGAGGAAGGCAGAGTCAGCCGGGACCCACCGATGGGTCCCACTCAAACGTGTCCCCCTCCGGTTTGCATTGCACGAGGATGGAAGCTTCGTCGTACGAGATCCGACTTGGTCCTCTTCCGCCGCGACTTGATCGAACCGAACTGATCTCGGTCGGACGCAAGTATTATTATTATTAGGTTCAAGTCATAATAATACACTTCAAATTCTTCTCTTCTCTTTTCTTTCATTAATGTTACACACAAATTTTTAGGGTTTATTAAAATATGTGAGATGCAGAGATGAGTAAGAATTTATTAGGATGTGTGAGATGTATAGATGAGAAAGGGCATGGGATAAACTCAATTTTACATAACGAACTTCTCATTATCAAAATCCTTTGGATTAATTACGGCGTCAACCCTTATATTTTAAAACATAACCCTCACTCATCTATTAATTTTTTTTTTATGATTGATAATAAAAAATTAAGTTTTAAAAAGTAGATTAGTATAGATTGATAAATATTTTAGGATTTCTAAAGCTAGTGCCCGATAAGGATAAAAAATCCTAATGCAAGAATGAGTATATATATAAAAGTTTATGTGAGGATAGAAAAAGATATAAAAAATACTTTGGTTATTTTTGGATTTGTTCTAGAGTATTTAGAGAGGATGCTCTATAAGAATTTTAGAGAGAATGAAAAGGAATATATAAATTCTTCAAGATTTATGTGAGAAGGTATACAAAACAAATCATATTTGAGTGAGAATAACTCAAGGGTCTTATATTTATTTCGCATGATAAAAAATTTAATTTTTCCATATATTTTTGATAGTTGATCTCTATAATTTATTTTAGTTTTAAAATTATTCTCTACCTCCCCAGTAATACAAGATCAAATGTTACCTCAAAGTAACCACGGATTACTAACATTTCTCTATCTAAATTACCGATGTACATCTTAATACCTACCTTTTAATATTCAACTTCTTTAAGAATCATTCATGGAATTCCTCGGCACTCTACGACTATTTTCATCTATTCCCTGTTTAAAAAAGTTAGAAAAATACATATTACCAGCAACCTGGATAAGGATCAATGGGTTTAAACTTTTACTCTAAATGACAAAGTTTCTTTTAAGAATACTTACCACTCAATTGAGAAAGGAGGATCGTATGAAAGAAAGAAGGTAATACGGGGTTTGAATGTTTATCTAAAGTTTAATTTTTTTTCTTTAGAAACTACTTTGTGATCGTTGCCCGCTTTTTGATATCTTTATGAGATCTTTCATTCACAAGTTGACTAATTTCTTATATAATTATTTTAATGACTTCTCAAACACATCTTCGAATGTGGTGTTGTTAGAAAATTTTAGAACTTAGCTAAAATTCATTGAAATGTTGATTCCCTTAGCAACTGGCTTTTTTATATGTACGCTCCTAATTTTTTAAAATCATTCTTACCTCGTAACATCAATGCTATTTTACTATGATTTTGGATAATCATGAATGATTCGTGTTTTCATAACCTTCAGTGCTAAAGCATCAACTCCTTGT